GTCATTTCAGGAATTTCAGGTGGGGACCTGAAACCGCTGAAGTGGCTGAAGCTTCTAAAAGGGGTTTCAGGTACCCCCATCGAAATGGTTGGACGAGGGTACATGAAACCCCTTTCAGAACCTTCAGCCACTTCAGGTCATTTCAGGAATTTCAGGTGGGGACCTGAAACCGCTGAAGTGGCTGAAGCTTCTGAAAGGGGTTTCAAGTACCCCCATCCCACCATTTGCAATGGATCTGTAGGCAATATGAAAGTGGTGTATCAACCTGAAGTGGCTGAACTGCGTGAAGGCGGTTTCAGACAACCCCATATATAGATCCACACACAATCTGAAAGTGGTGTAGTAACCTAAAGTGGTTGAACTGCCTGGAAAGGAGACCTGAAAATATATGCACCCGTTAACCATCTCTCTTGACACCCCATGGGAATATGAGGGAGCTTTCAATAAATTGAAGTATGCGCTCATGCTCTACGAAGTGCTCAAGCTTCCGGATCCTGAGTTGCCCTTTATTGTGATCATAGACGCCAACAAAATATGACATAGGCAGGGTCCTTGCATAGAAGGAGCGGGGGAAAGTTGAGGCATATCGAGTACACGAGCAAAAAGGTGTCATCCCAAAAACTGGCTAAGACCACGTGTGAGCGAGAGCTCTATGCCCTCTATAGGGTGCCGGTTCATTGGAGGCACTGCCTCCTCGACAAATTCTTCTATGTGAGGTCACCAACATGAGACTCTGTGCTGGATCAAGATGCAGCCCGTACTCTCAAACGCACTCAAAAGATGGATTGAAGTCATAAATATGTGTGACTTCAAACTCGAACCTCTGAAAGGAGAGTACAATAATGTGGCTGACACTATCAAGAAGGGCAGACTATTTGGGTATGATAGTAACGGAGTTTGGCATTTCTGTTGATCTGACGAGATCCATGGTGGAAACCTATCAAGAGGACCCCATCATGTATGAGATCATGCGCAAACTAGAGGCCAAGGATAAGGCCACATCAGACGATTGTGTTGG